CACATCCAGAGTTTTCCTCCTTCTAGACTCATCACCAACCAAAGCTAGAGAGCCCAGTCTACCTGGCTATTTAACCCATAGCTAGGAGGAGTAAAAATGAAATGTAGCAGAGGAGACAATAAGTTCACAATGGTCCCATGGGATAATGGGCAAAGGGACTAAAATGTTGGTTAGTGAATTTGGTGACATAGTAAATGAGTTCAATACCTGGGACAGGTAACATGGATTGAGTATATACATGTTACCTGGCCCAGGTATTGAACTCACTGAAAATAGGACAAGCAACAATTCAGTAGTAGTACTTCTTGTATATGCCATGTTCCTTCAGGACATAGGTGATCATAGCTCTCTTCAATTTCCTCTACCTTGAAGCTCATAGCAGTTTTTCTCCTTTTTCTAAGGCTCCCATCCTCCGTTCCACTATCCATTCATACAAGGTCATCAGGTGACACATGGCCTTCTCTTATTTCTCTTATCCCAGGATGCCTTGTGAGGATTAAGTTTTCTAAACCTGCTTTCATTATGTGACTAAAGAATTTCAGCTGTCTCTTCCTGATTCTGAGTATAAGTTTTCTTTCTATTTCCATAAAAGGGCAATTAAGCCATTGTAGTATGTGCTTCTTGTTGGGCTAAAAGCAGTGACAAATAAAATTTACACATGTAAATGATATCATTATTGTTAATAGTGATGAAATGAAATGGAATAAATTTCAGTCAGGTGATATTTTCCTGTGTTTTTATATAACTTAACTGCTGTATTTGACAGTGTATAAGACCCCCCCCCCCAATTTATGCAGGACAAATCAAGAAATAATTAGTAAAATTATTAGTAAATGGTACAGTGTATGCTATATTTTGGTTAAACAAACCACGATTACAATTAAATGAAAAATAATAGGAAAAAAAGAACATGAGCCTATAAAATCTTTATTATATCCAAAGGTAAAAAAACAAAATAAAGATCAAGCAATTATTACAACTGAGCAAAACAGTACAGTTACCATTAAAATTTTATTCATCTTCAAATTCATAAAATTTGTTGTCGTCGTTATCAAAACTGATACTCATTTTCAATACTACTATCATTGTCATCATCTAATTTTGGCCAATTATCACTAATTTTAAGCCTACATATGGCATATAAGATACAGGGGAATTTTAAAAGATTTTTAGAAAAAAAAACGTGCCTTATTTGCTATCAAATATGGTAATTAACAAAGGAGATAAAATACACTAGTATACATGCAAATATGGCTGAAAAGAATGAAGATATTAAAAAATTATCATTTAGGATTGTGTGTGTTTGTATGTGTGTATGTATGAAAGAGTTCAGTTACTCAGAGGAAACATGTACCATGCTGGTGTTACTTTTAACACATGCTAGGAAAAAAAAGAGAAAGAAACAAGAAGTGTCCTGTTTTTATAGCTGTTTAACAGCGCCACCTCACAGCAGCTTGGTAAATCTGGTAAAGCCATGTGGGGATAACCCACAAACCAAAATGAGATGTTCTTAGACATGGATAGCAGAATGAAAACAATCTATCCATGTGGATTAAATAAAGGGCTCATTTTGAAATTCCCTGAAAGTTACCTACATCAACATACATGTGAAATAGGCCAGGGAGCAAAATGGGCAAAATATTCTGATAATAATAACAAAGATGATGACATTGGTTTGGCAGTCAAAGATGATGACATTTGGTTTTGGCAGTCAATTAGTCATTTTGTGCTGTCAGTAGATGATGAACCTCAACAATTTATCAAAAGGACCAGCATGTCAATCAACAAATTCTGGAATACTGTTCAGTGCATAATATAAAGTTTAGCAATCTTGTTATATATACACACACACACACACATATATATATTAACTGATTTAAAATATGGTTTTTTCACTACACAGTAATAACCATGTTTAAAAAACTGAAGCTAAAAACTTCAAATTTAATTATATAATTAAATCAATTAAGCATTAGTTTGTTTCATCTTTGCTTGAAGATGAAAGAGAACTAATGCTTTTGATTTAATTATATAATTAAATTTGAAGTTTTTAGCTTCAGTTTTTGAAACATGGTTATTACTGTGTAGCGAAAAAAAACACATTTTAAATCAGTTAATTTATAATATTTATGCTCTGTAAATTTACATTGAGCACTGTTTTGTAAAAATAAAAATAAAAAATATCAATAAGAACACTGAATTATATATCTTACTGTTCTCTCTTTTATATATATATATATATATATATATATATATATATATATATGGAGAGAGAGAGAGAGAGAGAGAGAGAGAGAGAGAGAGTCTGAAATTATTTATAAAATGCAACTGCCCAAAAAAAAGAAAAAGAAAAAAGAAGACAAAACCTTGAAATCAAGTTTTTGATTAATGTCAAAGTATATAAAACACTGTATTTATAGAGCATGAAAATTGAACCTATTTCAACACAGGCAAAATGGAAGTTTTTTTTTAAAGCAGTTTTTAAATTTTTTATTTTACTATCCGGTGCAAATTTTTATGAAATCAGTAATTGTTTTTTTTTTTTAAAAAAAAGAAAAAAATAGAAGATTAACAGGAGATAACTGATAACTGACATCCATAAGATATGGTACGTGGAACTAGAACAGTCTACCCTAGCGAGCGAAATAAAGAATTCAGTTTGACATTCCAACCACCTGAAGAAGGCCGGAGCGTACAACGGCCGAAACGTTGTGATAAATATGGCAACAAAGATGAGGACGATAGCCCGAACAATGTAAATAGTGTACAAAATACCTCATCTCAGAAATATAGACAGATAAAAAAAAAAAGATGATTTACAATACATTCTGCAAACTTTGCAGAATGTAAATCATCTTTTTTTTATCTGTCTATATTGCAGTGCAAAGAGTCCTGCGTTAAAACAAATTTGATTTGAAGGATGGAATTTAATTTCTAGAAATTTCATGAAAATGGGTGTATTTTACCACGATTTTCTAAAAATAATATTTTCAAAAATAAATTCATTCATTTGTGAATAAGTCCTAAAAATTTCATTTTTCGACAATTATTTGATTTTTGCAAGAATTTCCAAATCAATGTTATTTTACCGGGAAAAAAGCGCTAAAATTTCCATAGTTCTGTTACCGTTGGGCGTTGACGCATGAAAAAACAAGATTTTTAATCAAAATTTCGAACGTGTTAGAAAGGAGTAAAAAATTAAAAAAAAAATAATTAAAAAATACTTTGGTCTTTCCTCTTAAGAATAACAAACATTTTTTTTTACGATAAAACTCTATTTTTATTTTATTTTTTATTAAGTTTGGGGCCTTTTTTCATCATGCTATGATGCTGTCTTTTAGCGAAAAAGTGGAGAAATTCTCTAATTCCAATTATCTTTTAACTGGCACATTTTATGAATCCTCAACCCTATGGAGTTCTTCAGGTACTCACTGAACTTTGCTTTAACTGAAAAATTTATACAACTTTGTTTTCTTGGCTTCAGTCTATGATGACAGTGATTGTGTGTGCGGAGTTGTGCTAATAATACTCTGGCATTCATTTTCAAAATAAATAATAAAACAGAAAACTTCATTTTCTGTCGAAGCATAGCTCCTAAAACTTTCAAGTCTAATATGTGGAAAAGTCTATAGGCCGCATTATAGAAAATATGTAGAAACGAAATGCAAAAAAAAAAAATCCTTTTTGAAAGTATAGTTGAAAAAAAAAACTAAACATCTGACAGCCTCCTTAAAAATCCGATTTAATATCCTTACTTTTTATTTTATGGTGCTTTGCTTATAAAAGCTGTGGAGAAATAATCAATTTTATTAAATAAAAATAAAATCTTTTTTAAAAAAATGGCTTGGGGATTGAAAGGATGGAATTTATTTTTTTAATATGTTTTAAAAATATTTCCTTTCCTTCAAAACTGGATGCAACTCAAATATTTTTAAGTATGACCTATTCTAAGAAAGTGGATGGGCTTGAAGAATGAAGAGTTATCTGTTCATTTTGAATAATACCTCGTGGAAATATTCATCTTCGATAGGATAGAGACTAAGAAAAATGTTCGAAAAGTGCTTAAAGTTCAGAAATAATTATTTAAGGGAGAGAATCGACTAAAAAAGAGAGCGATTGCCTACTACATTCGTCCGGCTTCATTACGGTATTCAATAAAAGATTGTCTCTACAAAAGAAAGTGTAACCATTAAAAAGAAAAACAGTAATTTTAGACGACATGAAGATCAGAAAATCTGAGTCTAAAATAAAAGATTTACTACAAAAGCGGAAGCAAAGAAAAACGAAAATGACTAAAAAAAAAGATGATGCTAAAAAAAACTAAAAAAGGCATCATAGAAGACTAAAAATAAACTGGCAAAGTTTAACCAGGTTCGATGGATTGACAGAAAAGTACAAAAACTGGAAATGAGAAATACTAAAATAGGGCGAAGAAAAAGAAACAAGGAAGGGCGTAAGATTTTTTTACGAAAGCAACTAAAAGAAGAGAACGAAAAATAGATAGCATAAAGAGACAAAATAATCTGTAATAAAAAAAATTAGCAAGGATTGAGTGAGAGAAAGAATAAGTAAAAAGTAAGGAAATGCAAAGGGAGCAGACAAAATAGAGAGACTATGAGCTAATACAGAGGAAGTCGAAGAGTGCGTGTTTGTGTACCGGCGTGGGTCACGTGAGCACTGGTAAGGCGCGCACGTTGCCGGCCATATTGCTCTATCACAACCCGTAGGTTTAGTTACCTCATCATTTCTGTTAAGCACTTTTGCCGATAATACCACGTACAACGCCTCTCTTAACATAACAGGGGGTCATTGAATCCTGGCAAGTGTTAAGCCTATATCGACAAATATATACTTTTAGATGTTTATAACGTAGACACTTCTAACACCTAGACAAATAGCAAGATCGCTTGACCAAAAAAAAAAAAAAAACGTAGATTATTTCAAAGTCTCTCTTCTTCGTTTAAGGAGTCAAAAAGTGACAAGTAAAAATGACGAGCAGAATGTCCCGTAAGGTGACCACTACAACCGTGACCACCGATTCTCCCGGTGTGTCTGGTAGTTCGTCGTCCCAAACTGGTTATACATCTCCACGCCGGACTAGGGCCCCATCTCCGGCCAGACTTACTCGGATTCAAGAGAAAGAGGAGCTGCAATCTCTTAATGACCGCTTGGCCAACTATATTGACCGGGTTCGATACCTGGAAGGGGAAAATAGCCGTCTTATGGTTCAGGTTAAATCGTCCGAAGAAACTGTTTCCCGTGAGGTGACCAATATCAAGTCATTGTATGAGTCCGAACTTGGAGATGCTCGGAAACTACTCGATGAAATGGCCAAGGAGAAAGCCCGTTTACAAATTGAGTCTGGAAAATACAAAGCAGAAGCTGATGAGTGGATGAACAAGTAAGAAAAAAATTATTTAATTACAGTTTGTTTTTTTTAATTTAACTATTTTTTTTTTTTAATTTTTTACAATGTCGGGAAAACGGAACTTACAATTTTGCGGCATTTTTTTTCTATTCAGGTTTTACTTTAAAAATATATTTAATTAAGTGTATATATATATATATATATATATATATATATATATATATATATATATATATATATATATATTATATATATATTTAAACATTAAACTTAATTTTATGAAGTAAAAAAATATTTTGTATTTTCTTTAGCCAAAGTGGTTCAACAAATATTTCTTCCTTTATTTTTTGTTTTAAAAGTTTTTTTTTCTGACGTTTTCAAACTTTGATGAAATAACAGACAAAAAAAATATCATAAATGATGAATATAATTTAATCCACTTAATATTTCTTTAATTTACTTATTCATAAAAATGTTTTTAAATATTTTTTTACGTTGATTTTTTTTTTTTTTTTAATTTTTTGTAATTGGAATTTCATTATTTTTGTGATAGTCTTGTGATTGTTTTACTTTTACATTTACGATGTTCCAACAACCAAAGTAATTAATTAATGATCGTTGAATTCTCTTAAAAGTAAAACTTCCTCAAGAGTAATTTTCATTATTTGTCTATTTTAAGACGTAAAATAAAATCCTTGTCATGTTAGGTATGCCATTTTTTTATAGTTTAGGGTGGGGATAAATATGCGTGTACTACTGTAGTGTACTGTAAAAAAAAAGTGTAAACCTTCTGATTCATGAACTTTATTATTATTCGGTAGTATTGTTTTTTAATTCTCTTAGATCTTTTAAATATAAATTTTTGAATTTTCTTTGTGTGGGCGATTGGATGATATATTCCATTGAATGACGTGATGATTATTTCGTCTATTTTGCTGGTTAAATCAAGCAGCAGCACTGGTAGTACTACTCAGTGAGTAAAATGCTGGTAGTTTTTGGTATTTATTACATGATTTCTAATAATAACGAAAGAAAGGGAAGTATTCTTTTTTAGCGTTAAAATTCACTTAAAATAGGAAAAAAGTGACCAAATTAACACTAGTACGAAAAAATTTTTTAAATGCTTATTTTTAAAAAATCGTTCTTCGTAACCAGTTAAATCAACATACAGTCCAATGTCTAATAATAAGTCTTACTCTTTCTTAACTTTCTTTTTTGTTTGTTTCGTTCCTTGACCTTTCCTTTGAAAATCACTAGTCTTTTACTTTCGTTTGTATAATCAATTCGCTTTTTTTTTCTTTTTTTTTTTTTTTTTGGTCACTAAAAGTTCTGATTGTTTTTAATCGTTGAACAGAAGTATTGACAGATTGTTTATTTAATAAACTAGTTTATTATAAACATAATGAAAAATGAACAAATAATTGTTAATGGTATTATTGTATAATTATGCAAGGATTTAGTTTTTTTAGTGTAAATATTTTTTAAATAAGAAATTTAATCTTCTCTTTCAATTGATTGACATTTTCAGCCAATCAGAATGTCTCACTGGCAAACCAAACTTTTCTTTTTTTTTTTTTTTTTTGTTTATAATTAAGGGCGTGTACCTTTTTGAGAAATTGTTTTATTTTTACTTTTTTCCCATCACTCTTTGATTCTGTCAGTCAATTCTATTTTCTTTATGAAATTGTTTTTCCAAACTTTAGAAGTTTCCTTGAACTTTAGTCATTCCGTTTTTTTTATTTTCTTAATTATTAACTACTGAATACTTACTCATAAAATAGGGGAAATGTTCCCATATTTTCAAAGGGCTAGAGAATAAAAAAATATTCATTTGTAATTCGAGTATATTAAAATTTTAAACAGTTTTGTTTTTGAGTTTGACACTTAAGATTCAATTTACCAGAAATGAAACAAAAAAATAAAAATAATGTTATTAAAAAAGTTAAGGTCTTAGTACAAAACTTCGGGGTTATTTTTTGTTTTGTTGTTAATCTTTCTGAAAACTAGGTCGAATATTCAGAACTATTTTTTTCTTAATTTCATAACGTTGTCAACAGGTAGTTCATCGTCTTGTTTGTTTGTTTTTTGTTTTGTTTTTTCTAAATGCTATTTTCCGGGGGAAAAAATTCTCACCTTGAAACAATGTCATTTTTGTGACTACATTTGGTCAAAAAATGTTGAAGCTAATGCTTATTTCTGAGAAAAAAAAAACGTTATTTTCATTATCATATTCCTTAGTTTATGATTAAGGAAATCCAATAAGTGCATATGCATACACTACAGCATCTGGCTTGCCGTTGGTCGGTCAGATTTTTCCCTCCAAATATTTAATCGTAAAAAAAAAAAAAAAAAAAGTGTCTCACATCCCGACTTAGAAGGAAATGAAAAGTAGGTCACAACATGTTATGTCAGTATGGGGATTCTGTGCCCAATTTTTTAATTTGTTTTTTTTTTTATTCTTCGTTGGTCGAAGATGAGTATTTATGGAACTGTTGTAAATACCTAATGTCTCGAAATCTAACCTTTTGTAGGGCTGTGATAAACGTTAAAGCAGAAATCCTTTATTTTTAAGATCTGCTTTTTTTTTTCTCGCCCCATTTTTTCTTTATTTTGGTAAAAAAAAACAATTGATATTAATTTCTAATAGTGATTAAGAACCAACAATTCTGCAATATCTTTTCAGTTTTCTTTCTCTGAGAAGGATTGTATTGGGTTCTTTTTTAAAGTCACTTTTTTTTTTTTCAAAATTTTAGCATCGCGCAGATTCACTATTAATTTTTAACACTTTGAACACATGATAAAAAAGTTATCTGGATTTCTTAGTAATAAATACAAATTTAAGTTTGGTTTATTTGTAAATAAGTTTTAGAAACTGATATCTTCTGAAGCTGAATTATTCAAGCTTGCTAAGAATGAGCCTTTCGAAATATAGTTTATTGCCAATTGGTGAAGAATTTTCTCTATGTTGATTGGATGACAAAAGTAAACATTCTCACCCATTCACCACATGTGACGAAAAAGGCCCGCAAATAGTCAAGTGTGTAACATTTTTGTTTTAGATTTACTTTTTTTTAATTAAAAGAAAATCGGTACTAATTAGTTTACTAATGAATTATTTTTCGGTACTGAAGAAAAAAAAATTAAAACGATTATTTGCAGTTATAATATAACTACATTTGTTTTGTGACAAAAGAAAAACATTACGTCATCATATTTCATGATGGACCACACTTTCAATACCGATTTTTTTTTTCAAAACTATTTCAATCAATATTAATGAACAACGGGGAAATACTAAAGTAAAATTGTTACATGATTTTTTTTTTTGTCACTGAAATTGTAAAATTTCAAAAAAAATTTATGTAAATTAAAAATGGAAAAAGAAATATCTGAAACTTAGTTTATATTTTATTACTGTTTCTTTACTTGCCTGTCATTTTTTTTGTTTTTTTTTTAATATGAACTTATCCATAAAGCTATCTTTACTACTACTTGTGAAAAGGATATAAATGTTTTAGTTCAGATATTTTTGTCAAATTAACCATGTGTTAAACTTTGACATAGTGTCATCCATCAGCCCAATAATAGCAATTCCCTTCTTTTGAGTTTGTCATGCATGATGGATATTTTGATGATAAAGAGCTCCTGCAAGATAGTAGGCTATTCTGCTCCTGATTTTGTGGGAAGATATAAATACATTTTTTAGATTGAAATTTACATGTCACTGCAACCTTGTCTTTTTTGTATAGATTTTATGCACGAAATGTCCTTTAAATTCCATCACCTTTTTAATTTTTAAAATGTCCAATTCCTCTCTAAGGTGAGTTATAAGCGGCATACCTGCCTGGTAATGTTACTTCATAAGATTTATTGAGATTCATTAGCTTAGAAAATAACGAAAATTAATAAATGTTTAGCTTCAGTATAGCTAAAGAAAATGCGCTTCAATTTTTCTTTATTGATAATTTCCATTTTCCAATCATTGATTTTAAAATCTCAAATAGTTTTTATCTCAGACACTGGTACTACATGTTCTAGCTGCCAAACTGGGCACGTTGGAATAGAAAAAGAAACCTTTCTAAAGCTAAACAAGGTAAAGAAACAGGATTTCTTTTTAACAAAAGCCAGACAAACTGCTATGTGATATCTGTGCTTCTATATAGCAGTGAATGTTGGATAGTTTCCTCACAGAAGGTGCAACAACAGTGATATGGTTCTACAGATGAATGCTAAGAATGCATAAATGGATCATATGAGTAAGAAGGAAATTTTACGGAAAATACGGTGGGCAAAACCATACTTAGAATCGGAAAGTAACAGCTGAAATTTCTAGGAAATAGGGCTTGAAGAATTTGACACTTTTTGAACTTTGGAAGACAAGAGGAGATACACAGTAATCTATGAAACGACCTTGTGCAAAATGGATGGCAAAACAGGACTTGTGGACACAGTAAGGGACAAAGAATGAGAAGCTGTAGAGAAGCATGATAGCCCACGTCATGAAGGAAATTAAAAAAAACAAAAAAAAAAACATTTGTCTAATAAAGAACTTCAGTCTTTTTTTTTCTTTTTTTTTTTCTTTTTTTTGGTTAGGTGTCAAAGTTATGTCCCTTGATAAATTGAGCGGTTTCATTTTTTAAAAAAAATTCTAAATTTGAAATTCGTTTAACATTGATATAGGGAAAGGAAAGTTTAGTATATTGATTTTTTTTTTGATAAAGTATTGCTGATTATTAGTAAAATGAAAGAAATACTAAAAACTTATTTCTCTAATCTGTAAAAACATCACAACCTTTTTATTTTGCAAATCCAGTCTCAAGCTAGAGCTGATTATATTTTTGGCGTCACTTCAGCATGTGATCTACAATCAAATCTGATCTGAGAAAGTGTACTACATTAATAAGAAAATAGAATAATAAATGAAAAAGAAATGACGTAGTAGTCTATCCCTGTCTGTACACAGTCTGAAAATTTATCGCAAATCCATCATAAATTTTTTATATTACCACTTTGTCAAAAATGAAGTCAGGTCA